GTACTCTTCTAACTGATTAAAGTCAAGTTCTTTGCATTTTGTTTGAAGAACTTCCCAGAGTGCTTTATGTTCTTGTTTGAGTTGCTCAAGGTGGATTTTTTGTTCATCAAAATCTGCTGCAAGCTTAGTGTGCTCTTCCCTTTCTTTTTGAATTTTTTTCATATCTTCTTTCCTGACCAAAAGCTCCCTCTGTAAGGCTTCTTTTTCTTTTCTTAATTGATTCACGACTTTAATGTCATTGTTGGGGTCCAGACACTTCTTCGTGTCCCCAGCACCTAAAACAGGCTCTTCTGAACTGGAATTTTTCAACGATTCTTCCTTCTTTTTAACTTCAGACTTCACCTTTTCAAGAGCTAAGAGCAGCTGAGAACGTTCCTCTTCATATGCACTTGCTTTTTCATCAAGCATAGATTGCATATGAGCAACCATGCAGTCCTTTTCCTCTAAAGATTTTAGGGTCTGCTCACATGTATTTTGTTTTTCAGCGATGACATCATTTAGTTCTGCAATACTGTGCTGAAGTTCCTCTAAATAAGCAGCTTTTGAAGACAAAATTTCAGTCAAGTCACCTATTTTGGCATCTTTTTCTAAGAGTTGTTGCTTCAAAGTTCCAAGATGAGACTCAAAATCTTTATTTTCCTCTTCAACTAGTTTCAGCTTGTCTGTTAACTCATTAACTTTCTTCAATAGCTCCTCTGCTTTTTTTTGCTCTTTTTCTATTTCTTCGTGTCCACTCTTTTCTAGTTTTCCAACTTTTTGCATTAGATCTCTTCTTATTATCAATGCCGCTTGAAGTTTCTTTTTCAGATTCTCTTTTTCCTTGCCCATTTTCTCAAGCTTAAACTGCATCTCCTCTTTTTCATTCATTAAATCTTTAAACACAGCTTCTCTACTGCTTAACGTAACCTGACTATGTTCCAGTTCTTTCCTACAGTCCTCAAGTTCCTGCAATACTCTGTTTAGCTCTCCTACAGAACTATTATGAACAGCTTCAAGGTCTTGCAGTTTGCTATTTAATGTATTTCTCTCTTCAGAAAAATTCAGCATTTCATTAGACAATGATTCCATGATCTGGGTAACAGAACAGTCCTTCTCTTTCAGCTGCTGGCTTAGACCAGAAATTAAATTCTTCTGCTGATTTACCTGGGAAGTTAAGTTCTCAATGAGTTGATCTTTTTTTCCCATTTCTTCAAGGAGACTTGCTACTTTCTTACCTTCAACGTGCAGTTTTTCTTGACTGGTTCTTACTATTACTTCTGATTTATTTATCTTGTCTTGAAGAAATTCAACCTGCTTATTTATTTCTGCAAAAGACTCTTCCCTTTCTTGCAAGAGAGACTGTTGTTTGCATAATGTTTCCTTGACTGTGACCATTTCTTCTGACAAACACTCAATTTCAGATTTGTACTTGCCCTTCATCTTTTCAATATCATTCTGCAGCAACTCCTTCTCCTTCTCAAGTGACTGCATACTTTTTAATTCATCTTTCATGGTGTCTATTTCTTTCTGTTTTTCTAAAAGCATCTGTTGCAACTGTTCTCCTTCTGTTTCTTTGCTCAAAATAGTGGTTATCAGAGTGGAGAATTTTTCCAACTGAATTTTACTATCAGTTAGCTGCAGATCAGAATCTGAAGTCTGTGCCTTCTTTTCTTTACATAAAAGCCTACTACTAAGTAATGGAGATAAGCTTTGAGTTAATTCCTCTTTTATAAGATCCAGCTCTTGCTGCAAAGACTGGATTTTGCTATCCTTTGATTTCATTTCACTTTCTAAACTGCTCAATTGCTCAGTAAGATTATTATTTTGTAAAGTTGCCCTATCAAGTTCTGTCACCCATTTGTTTTCTGACTCAAGTAGATTTCGTTCTAGAGTTTCAAATTTAAGTTCTAATTTAGAAAGCTCTTCACCCTTCACACTAACCTGCATCTGTAACTTCTCTTTTTCAGTCTTCATCTGCAGTTTGACAGCATCTAACTGCATTCTTGAATAATTCTCACTGGTTTCTAGTTTTTCATTGACTTCTTGGAGCTCTTCCAATTTCTTTTGCAAATGATTTTGAGATGTACTAAGTTGTGTGTTTTCAGCCATCAGTTTATCAGCATCATCTTGCAACTGATTTTTTTCTTTCTCTAAAGACTCTATCTGGTACCGCAGACTACCTATTAAAAGCGCACTGTCATGGCAGTCTTGAGATGATTTGGAATTTACATTGCTCAACTCTAACTTCAAACATGCTATGTTATCTGCCTGTTCAGTGCACTTCACACGCAGAGACTCCACAGCCAATTCTTTTTGCTGTAGTTCTTCTTCCCTTGTACTTATTTGGTCTAGTGCTTTTTGGTGTTCGTTTTTAAGAGAGTCAAGTTGAATTGTCAAAGAATCAATTTCCTTCTGATTAATACCAAGCTTCTCGTTCTTTTCCTGAAATTCCTTAGTAAGGTTTTTCATGGCTGTATCACTTTTCTCTAATTTTTCTCTGAGAACCTCAATCTCACTAGAAAGAGCATTAACATTGCTATCTGCCAACTGTACACTGGTATCTTTCTCCTTTAAAGAATTAAGCAGTTCAGCAATAACTTCTTCTTTTTTCCCAAGAGCTGCATTCAACTCAGTTCTTTGTTCAGACTGTGCTTCAATTTTCTCCTGAAGAGATAAAAAGGCATTTTCTCTCTCATGGACTAGTTCTTTAGATTTCTGTAGTTCTTGTGTTAGTTCCTGTACCTGACTTTTGAGCTGAGAAATTAAATTTGTCTTCTCTTCATCTTTCCTTGCTTTCTCCTTCAGAGTTTTGAGGAGACTTTTATTTTCTGTAAGACATGACTCCTTTTCTGATAAGCACTGGTCCATCTCAATTATTACATTCTTCTGGTGTTGTATTTCTTTTTGTAAATTCACCTTCACTTCCTCCAGCTCTACCACCTGTTTCTTTAAGACCTCACATTCTTTCTCTTTCTCTTGAAGTTGCATCTTTAATTTTTCACTAGATAATGAAATATTGTTGATGGTTAATTCTTTTTCCGAAACAAGCACTTTTAGTTTTTCTGCTTCAGAGACTGAAAGCTCCAACTGTTTCTGCTGCAAAACAGAAGATTCCTGTACCTCAGAAAGCTGTGCTTTTAAAGTGATGTATTCACCTAACTTTTGTTTTAAAGATTCATCCTTCTGTATAATTGAATCATTCAACTGGGATGATTTTTCTGTCACATTTCTAAGCTGATACTGAAGGTCAGAAATAACCTCCATATTCTCAGACAGTTGAACCCTAAGTACATCAGACTCTTCAGATTTATCTTTTAATAACTTTAATTCTTGGGCTTGCCTCTTAACTTCATTTTCTTTTTCCTGCATTGTGTGTCTAAGCTGGCTGGTTTCAAAACCTAGAGCTTGTATTTGCTTTTGCAGATCTGAAATGATTTGCATATATTGCCCTTCTCCTGCCACTTTACTATCTTTCATTTGCTGAATCAAAGCCTCCTTTTCAGAAAGGAGAGTTTCTTTTTCTGCCAAGACAATTTTTAAGTTTTCTTTTTCAATCAAGAGGCCATCAATTTGGTCCTTTAGAGCTAAAATATTATGACTTTGTTGGGACAAGTGTGAAGTTAAAGCAGCTACTTCGTCTGACTTTTTCATTACTGTAACATTAACTGTTTCAATGTCTAATTTCAATTTTTCATTTTCTAGAGCTGCTGTATGTGCTTGTTGCCTTGCTGAAGTAGTTTCAGACTGCTGCTGTACCAACTGTAACTGAAGAACTTCATATTCACGTAACTTCTCGCTCAGTAAGTTTGAAAAGTCCTCCTTTTCATGCTTAAGCACATCCACTTCTTTGCTTAATAGCTGTAGCTGATTACTTAACACTGTACTTTCTTCCATTTTGTCAGAAACTTGCCTATGAAACTTCTCAAGTTCTGAACGCTGACTTTTTACAGTCAGGTCTCTCTCCTCTACCAAATGAGATAGCTTTGTTTTTTCATCTTTAAGATTTTTAATTTCATCCTGCAACTCTACAAAACAAAACTTACTCTCTTCCATTGCCTTACACAACGAATCATTTTGAAGGATTTTCTCATCTAGACACCTGTTTGTAGCTTCAAGATCCAAAGTTACGCTTTGAATTTGTTCCTGCAGTAGTAAATTCTTCTCCTTACTATGGCTGAGTTCTTGGATTAAGCTACTGCATTCAGATAACTTATTATTTAACATTTCTTCTTTCTTTATTTCTTTGTCTCTAGTATCCCTCAGCTGAATGAGAAGTGATTGCATTTGTTCGTGCAACTGTTGTGTCTGTTCCTTGCTTTTGAACAACTGATCAGCTAGCACATTACATTCCTTTGTTTTCTCCTGCAGCTGTTCTGCAACTGAATTTTCTTTCTGCTCGGCAAGTATTGAAAGTTGTTCAACCTCTTTTGCCAGAGTGTTTTTATCACAATTTAGTACTGAAAGAGTTTTTTCGTACTCAGCAGTGCTAACAGATAACTTACTCTCTATTTCTGCCACAGCCTGGATTTTCTTTAACAATTCACACTCTTTTACATCCAGGAGTTTGGACAAATTCTCATTTTCACTGATCAGCTGTTCCTTCTCTTTTTCTACCACATCTATACTTTTTTTCAGATATTCATTTGCTTTTATTTGCTCTGCCAGTTTTTCTTCTTTCCCTTCAAGATCTGCCTGCAATTGCTTATTAGCTGAAGCTTTCTCCCGTGTCTCTGTTTCCATCTTGGTAATTTGTTTCTGTATTTCATTTAATTGGTTATTAAGTTCTTTGCAACACGTCTCTTTGGCTTTCAGATCTCCAGTTAATTTAAGTTTAGTCTCCTCATTTTGCTGCTCCAAAACCCCAAGCTTCTGCTCTAATGAAATAATGACCTCTTGTTTCTCTTGTAATTCTTTTTTAATTGTTTCCTGATGTTCAGTATGTTCTATAAGCTTCCTAGATAACTCAGCCAACTCTTCATCTTTTTTAGCATTTTCCAAAACCAGGTTGTTGTATGAATCTTTAATTGATTTTAACTCATTTTCAAGTGTCTGTGCTTTACTCTCTTTCTCTTCAAGTAAATTGTTCCATTTTTCCTTTAGAGTATTGTTTTCCTCAAGCTGAGATTTCAAATATTCTGTTTCTTTTCTTTGTTTATCCTCGGTTTCTTGTAGCTTTTCAGATGATTTACTAATTTGTTCTTTCAGCAAAGTAATTTGTGACTCACACTCTGCAAGTTTGTTACGGTATGCAACATTGTTGGCTTTGATTTCAGAACGGAGATCCTTAATTGTAATGCTGTTCTCACTGCTTTGTCTTATTAATTCCTCATTTTCTTTGGTTTTAGCTTCATTCTCAACTCTAACTCTTTCTAGCTCTAGTCTCATTGTATTACTTTGCTCAGAAAGGACAGATATCTTCATGCTTGCATCTTTTACATCAGCTGTTTGTACTTCTTTCAGTAAATGAGCTTCCCTTTCAGCCTTTGATAAAGCCTCTTCCATCCCTCGTATTTCTTCCTCTTTGTGTTGCACTTGACGCTTCAGGATGATAACCTGTTCAGAATATTCTGTCATATTCAAAGACAGGACAGACATCTCCCTGTCTTTTTCTGCCAGTGCTTCTTTAAGATTATCAATTTCTCTTTCACGTTTCTGGAGATCTTGAATAAGCTGAGATCTTTCCTCTAAATGGCTTGTATTCAATTTGTCAAGCTCTTCATTTGTCTGGTCCAGATCCAGCTGCATCGACTCTACCACGCCATCTTGTTTCAAAGTCTAAACATCAAGAAAACAACATTACAAGAATACTTCAAACATATGTTAAAGGGAGAATGGAAGTTACACTCCACATGTAGAATGAGTACCTAGAGTAATCAACCTGTACCCAACTGTATAATCACAAGATAACCATGTTATTCTTCAGATTGTTTTAGCATACAGAAAGTTTAGTGTATGAAATTTTTAGCATCTAATGCTGTTATTTTGCTGATATTAAAATGGGCCATGTCAAAAGAACATAAAATTTCTTCTCTTACTTTATTTTAATGAGTTACCTTTTCCTTCAGTGTAGCAACTTTTTCTGTTAGATCACCGATGACTGTTTTCTGCTCAGTGTTCTCCACTTCATAAACACTGCATTTCTTTAAGGCTTCATTCAGCTTAGTATTAAAAATAAAAGTCAATGTGATAGAAATATATAGAATTATATTAAAATTGTGATGTTAGAGTTATAATATTGAGTTTACAGTAACAGTGGAGTTTATACTTTGAAATTAATGAATGAGGATAACTTATCACCCCAATAAAACATGAACACTTTCATGCAAAGCTGTGTGTTGGGTCTAAGAAATTCTTAAACCCAACTTAAAGCAAAGCAGTTACATGAAGTGAACAAACTGTAAAGAAACAGAGCAAAAACCTTCAGATATGGAAAACCGCAATATTGCTGCTGGGACACAAATAGAAAGTTATGGCTAATGCTTGCCAGTTCTAATAAATTAAATACTATTTAACAATAACTTTAACTTACTTTTTGCTCAGTATGCACAAACTTTTCACCAAGCTCTTTGTTCAGAAGGTCCTTTTCTTGAAGCAGTTTCCTCAAAGTTTCAATTTGTTCTAGTTTTTCTGTTGTGGTCAACAGTTTTTGTTCTTTTTCTCCAAGTGAAGTTTCAAGGAAGCTATTTCTGTCACTTAATCTAAGAAGAAGATACGTATTTAGGTATTTGAAAACAAAGTTTGATTTAAGCTTTCTAGACTTATTAGCCCCAAGCTATGTTCCTAAAAGAATAATTATTTTTACACTTTCCATTTAAATTTCCAAGTACAAAAATAACATTACTGCAAACAGAAGCAGGAATCAAGTCTCTTTTTCAAGTGTTTTTAAGAGATTACACTTCTCATTAGAAGTTTAAGCTTAAAGCAAAGAAAGCTAATCCTGTATGGAGTTGTAAAGAACCTTTATTTTACCCTTTAAGCTGCTCATTCAAGCCAGAGATCAGAATTTGATGTTTTTCCGCATCTCGCATTTGTTGGTTGCGTAATTGGGTGAGTTGAGTTTGCAAACGTTCATTTTCATTCTGCAACAAAATAATAACGAAGAGGATTATCACATACAGACACCCAGAATAGCATAAGATAACTGGAGTCATGAAAAATCTGACTCTTCAGGAGACTTACATCCTACATGGTAATAGAGACCATTATTCCAGCACTTTAGCAGATATCAGTGCAAAATACAACACTGATATCACAAGTTCGGATGTGATATTAGTCCAAATAGATGCAACCCACCTTTCAGAAATACCTCCTTCAGCAATGCTATGACAGCATGAACTCAAGGATGATTGCTGTATACCCAAAACAACACACACACTCAGACTGTGTTAAGGCAGCTTACTTATCTTAAAAGGGGAAGCTACTGCTTTGAAAAAATAGTTTCCTCATTGGTTTGAAGACAGTACCAATATTGCAATTTTTTTTTTCCTATTTTTTCAGGTTGAAGGAATGCAAAAGCCTGCATATGGGGGATTGTGGAGAAAAGAAAAAGTAAGCAAGCTTCATTCACACAGCTTTTTTTTTGTTTGTTTTAAAACGCAGTCCAAATCTCCTACCCTAGCCAGATCCACTGCACCAATTCAAAAATAAAACCACGACAACAGCAACCAAAAACCAAAAGCAGAACACATATCCAGAATCAACAGCAAATAGGACAGACATGGCAAACTTGTCACCTCTAATGAAAATAAGCTAGAATTTTGGAGGAGGCAGAACACACCTGCACCGCCCTCAATAGCTGCCCTTCTTCATCTACACCAAACGTTACCTGTATTGAAAGGCTTTGTTACAAGATTCTCAAGTAATAATTAATATAAGCTTGTCTTTCATCTCAAAATCATTACTACATTTTCATATACGTGCAACAGATAAAGAACTATGAATAATGTACTAAGCCTGAAGGAGTTTGAGTAAGAGTTCAGTTGTGTCATTTAGTGAAAATAAGGTTTACAAATTATCATAGTAACTTGTCAATCAGGAAACATTAAAAATAACTTTTCTGATAAATATTTACCGTTCCTTCTGGTGCTGTCATTGAATAACTTTACAATATAAATATATATCAAATTAGTATCTGTGGTTTAGATTGTATATATAAAAATACTAAAGTATATTATTAAATACTAATTATACATTCACACAGTTTCTTTTCTAGATGTGTGTATATATAGATAATGATAATAATAACACACACACACATTTACATACAAGAAACTTGAGGGATATGAGAAGAGGAAGACTTATGCCAGTAGTAACAAAATCTAATTCCGGACCTTCTGACAAAGGCCCCCTACAAAGAATAATGAAAATCATGTTGCCTTTTACTACATTTCTAAAACAAATAACAAAGCTTACTTTCAAACAAGTTTCTCCATGTGAGGACTTTTACTTTTGCTGAACAGAGATGACAGGCTTCAACTTCAGAGCACAATACAGTATGTGTACACTCTCTGCCAGCGTAATTACGAAGTATAAAGGAGGCTTTAGACTTTTTTGCTAGCTGCAAATTGATGGTTTTGTCTTACTATAGGCTATGATTGCAAGAATATAAACAGAGAATAAAATGATTCTCCTATATCATCAGGTTTTACACAACTACAAAAGCTCACCTGAAGAGCCTCCATTCTACCTTGAAGCTGCAATCTATCTTCCAAATCCTGACAACGCTCTTCTAGAAAAAGAATTTGCTCCTGCAGTTGATTTCTTTCCAGTTCCAACTCTTCAACCACACTCCGTAAACCTACTTAAGACAAAGAAGAAAAATTATTTCAAGAAAGGTCTGCTAAAATTTCTGAAGTCTAGAAACGGTTTCAGCTTTTTATTCATGATTCTCACCAGTGTTGGGCACAATTGGATCTCAGTCATTTCCAGTGGAAATGCCTGAGGCCCTGCATTTCCAAAAATTAGATGGCAAAAGTACCCTTAACTGTTGAAAAAACAAAATAAAGTTGCCTCGCTCAAGAACTTAGAGAACCTGGCAGAAATATTCCAAACAATATTGTGGCTCAGTCGACAGCGTGTCTCACATTACTTTAATCACAAGTTAATCATGTACTTGCAGGATCAGATCTTAGGCAATTATTAATAAGCAAAGTAAACTGGTCTGCATCAAAATTTGCAAGTGAGTCTATTCCATTTTAACAATAAAATATATTTGCAGCCTTTACCACCGATATAAACACATTTGCATTAAAAAATAAGAATTTGATTTTTAAATTAAAAGCATACAGCAATGGAACGCAATTCTGATTTGCAACGTAACTGTTATATAGATTGGAAACACAGTCACAGGAACAAGACTCGTAACTTAAAAAACACATGATCTTGCCACATAGGATATTTCATGGGCACCAAGGCTCAACCGATTCCAGCGTTCAGTCATATTTATATTCTACTTCTGAACCAAAACTAGGCAGTTCATCTAGCACGCACATGCTTTAAAATGAAAAGGGAGAAAACGCAAGCCAAAAAAATTCAACAAAGATTAGAATACACCACAAATGGGTTGTTAATTGAATTTGAAAACAAAAATAGACACAAAATACAGATGCTGTGCATGCTTTAATAAACTGTCTAGTCGCTATCACACCTGCATTAGGTGAAGTGTACTCTGGCCACCAACCTCCCATATTTTCTCCTTCGGCTGAATCAGTGCTATCCAAGGTGACGTTCAATTCTTGAAAGCATTGTTTTCTATCGAAGTTGTACTCTCCCTATGCATAAAACATGAGAATGAAGTTTAAATTAAAGAAGAAAGGAAGCAAGGGTAAAATACGTGTTCTGTTATTAAGTGTAGTTTCAATTAAAAGTCCTAAAACTCAGCAAGTGATTCAGGTGCCTAAATGTAAGTATACGCGACCGCTGTGGACACTGAGGTAACCCACCCAGCTTCCAGCTATTACTTCCAGAAAATCCAAGTCTCCCACAGGTTTTCTATGGTATCTGCCAGGCCTTTGATGACACCCTCGGGCATCTGAAAGGCCAATAGATAACTATGTTTGGACACCTTAATCGGTCCCCTGATTTCTACAGCTGGTAGGGTTCTCTGAATCTCAGGGTAAAGTATCGGAGCTAACTAAACATAAAATTATTCTTCCAATGCTATGTTAACATGACAATGACATCCTAATTCTTCTTACGAAAAATTATCATTTTTTTTGTGCAAGTTACAGCATCTACTACCTAAAAGTACACCTGAATGAACTGACACTACTTGCTATTCAGTAAAGCTCCACCAAAGAGATTTGTAAAGATTGTACTTAAACCAAAAATGGCCTTAACATATTAAGCATGCACATAGCTTCAAGGATGTGAATTACTCCAGAGGGAAGCTCGTTATTTCATAGAATTGTTTAGGTTGGAAAAGACCTTTAAGATCATCCAGTCCAACCATTAACCTAACACTACCAAGTCCACCACTAAACCAGTTAAGGGGAGAGTAGCAATTTCATGTTTCCTGGCTTGGTGGATGGATTATTTTTTCATGAAAGTAAAACTAGGTATCACTAAGGTCAGAAAAGACCTCCAAGATCCTCACTCCAACCATCAACCCAACACCCCCATGCCCACTAAACCATGTCCCAAAGCGCCACGTCTGCCCGTTTTTTGAACGCTTCCAGGGATGGGGACTCCACCACCTCTCTGGGCAGCCTCTTCCAATGCTTGACTACTCTTTCCGTGAAGAAATTTTTCCTAATATCCAATCTAAACCTCCCCTGGCGCAGCTTGAGCCCATTTCCTCTCGTCCTATCTCTAACTACTTGGGAGAAGAGACCAACACCCACCTCACTACCCCCTCCTGTCAGGCAGCTGTAGAGAGCGATCAGGTCTCCCCTCAGCCTCCTCTTCTCCAGGCTGAACACCCCCAGCTCCCTCAGCCGCTCCCCATCAGCCCTGTGCTCCAGACCCTTCACCAGCTTCGTTGCCCTTCTCTGGACACGCTCCAGCAACTCAATGTCCTTCTTATAGTGAGGAGCCAGTATAAAAATTTTACATTTTTCAGTGTAAAATTAAGTAGACTCATTGCTCAAGGAAGAGAGAGGTGTAACGCCATCGGAATTTCTCATCTTCTGGCTACATACACAATCATTAAAGTTACCAAAGTTTTCAGCTACATAACTAATCTAAGTTCTTAAGCCCTTAATGTTTTTAAGTGTAAAGCACCATATAAATAGTAGTACTTTCCATATTTTTATTAACATACAGGTAAAAATACACTCATCTCTTAACCCACCTGAAGCTTCCTGCTGGTCTGATTGCTTTTTCTTCTTGCCTGCTGCAGCCTGCCCATTCCTTGAACTGTGGCCAGTTCCTCCTCCAGCTCCTGTTGCCCTGAGACTATGGCTGGATCAGAGCAGCCAGGAAAGAACCAGTCATCCTCAATCAGTTTTGTGCCACAGGAAAGCAATTACATTTATATCAGACACTACTACATGAAAAGAGACCAGGGACAGGCTGAAGTCCCTACGAATGACTGACAGGAACAAGATTAAAGAAGCAATCCATTGCGTTCACCTTGTGATTTCCCTCCAACATTATTCTTATGTTCCACATAGTACAGTCTGCATATCTCGCTAAGAAGCGGCAAACTGAAGTCTAACTTTACTTTCATCAGCTCTAAATGAAAACTTTATACAGGAAACTGGAAAGGGTGAGGTTATATGCTGATACTAAAAAAAAAGCCAACCAATTAAAATGCCAAATTACACCTCATTTCAGTTTATCAGGTTAAAATATACCTAATTTGTATGATAAATGTATCAGCTGAAACAGATGTGGTTTTTGTAATCTGAACAATCACATTCATTTTTACAGAAATGACATGTGCCCCTTTCAATTTTCATTTTAGTATGACCTACAAAGCCGGATAATTTGAGGAAGTCACAAGCATGTGTTACACTGCAAACTGGCATCAAGCCATCTTATCAGAAATTAATAATACCATTCTTTTTAAAACAAATATAGAATCACTTGTAAATAAACACACTGAATAACTTCAGAATACGAAAGCTTAGGTATGCATCCTGTTCATTGTTAGAAATGATTTTTCATTTAAAGTACATTCCCATCTGTTTTGTGATATGACAAAACATGTTTGGGGTAACAGATTAGGAAATAGATGTTTCATGCAAAGCAGACAAAACAGAACAGCCAGGGAAAAGAAATGAAAGTAAAGGTGGCTCCATACTTTAACTGAAAATTAATTAGATAATTACAATTTAGCTTTCCATTTAACCACATCACTCCACAGCTGTCCTCACAGCATGCAAAATTCAGAGTACTTGTGTCAATGCATCTGTGAGGCAAACACCAGAAACTACTTGGAGATTCAGCCCTACTGGAAATACTCCACTTTCATCCCAGTTGTCCAAGGATTACTTATACCACAAACTTCATTAACACACAACTCTGTAACACTTACTAAAGTTCTTCCTGTAATATTTCAAAATTACATAGTTAACATGTCAGAAAAGATTAGAGGAAAAAAGTTAAAGAAAAAAATATTAATGACTCTCTTAAAGTAGGACTGCTAAATTGGCTTTTACTTCTGGTTTTAATTACACTTTGGCTTCCGGCACTGTCACTTTATCAGCAGTCATTTTACACACCTTTGTTTATTTTCCAGTGTAGATTCTACAATTTTTTTTTTTTTAATCATTATACATACTTCTTCAAAGCCGTAAATATAAATGCCAAATTTTGGTCACATGCCTTGAACTTCTGTTTACAAGAACTGTCACTGAAGTCAGTCAAGCAATTCAAGGAGCAAGCATTATTCCAGGTAAGAACTTAACCCCTGCTTGGGGTGGGGGTGGGGGGAATTCAACTTCTTGGAAGTTGAAATTGAGGTAATCTGGTTTTAAGTATAATCAAAATGAGTAACACACTGTCCTTTAGGAACCCAAAAGATTTAGGCTCCTAAGTACTCAATAATGAAAAAAAGAATGAAATTACCATTGTCACATGAAATATGAAAGTACAGAAATTGGAGCTTTAGAATGATTTAGAACGTTTAAGCAAATGTTAAAACACTTTCAGTTAAATTCAGCATTGCTTTAACAACAATTAGTAAGTAAACACATCTTCTAATGTTTTACAGCAGCTTAGGGAGCTTTTCATTTGCAATTATGTCTAACGTAAAAACTGAAAAACTTCCTAGAACACCCTTCTTCAGATACACACTACATTTAAGCTAACTAATGATGCATCTGTATTTCCTTGTGTCGCTATTCACACTAAATAACACAGCCTTTAGTGGTTTGCAAAGGAAACAAGCCCCAGTCTATAAATGGAATCAATACCGTCACCCTCTATGCTTCTGCAGCTCCCCACACATTCACCCCAAATTGTCATAGACTATGATGGAATGAGTAGTGGGTTTATATGTTCTTAAAATATTGGTAGCTAGTATTAATACATGCAAAGTTCTGAAATTTATGGCATGGAATATAATTGTTTTTTTAAAAAAATACTACAGAATTTCAAGTACTACTAAGAATATTTAAATAAATTTGATTCTTACTTAGCCACAACCACTTGCAGCAAGCCAAGAAATTTTTCTCTAGATAAGGTTACAACATAAATATGGAGTCAGCTGTTACTACAAAGAAAAATGAAGACGATTCAGTTAATATAAATGAAGAAACAGATATCGCAAGCCAGAAAAAAAAAAAATTCACGTTAAAACCAGCATTTGTTACATGTATTGCTAAAAACCACATACCATCAACAGCAAGTCTTATAAGGTACTGTTGGCGATTTCCTCAAAAGAAGCAACAACAGAAGAAATCAGCAACAGTACATTACAAGTTGCCATTGCTGCAGGAACCTGCATGCACAAAACTGATGGGAAACCATGTTCTCACTGGCTGACCAAATCGCAGTGTAGGGTAGGAGTGGAGGGGGAAGGGACGCTGAGTGCTCATCAGGTGTAACGGCAGGAAAAAAGAAACAGAAAGATCATGCTTATCCCAAGGGGAAAAAAAAAACTGCAAAATTAAACACGGACTGATGCAGATGAAATTTTACAACTGTTATTGCTTGTGGATCTGTAGTTACCACAGATGAGATAACAGGTAGTTTTAATGAAGGGATTATTATTCTCTTTCAATTTCGAAGCATTACATGCGTAAATTGCTCAAAAAGAAGAGACGTGATCCTTAAAACATTTCTATGCTTATATGCTGAAGTTCCAAATTGATCATGTAAATGAAAAATAATTCAACCGCAGATTAAAAACAGAAGGCTCAAATTAACTAACTGTATTAATTATGATGGTAGGTTGTACACATTAAAATTTGCCATTAATCCCCACACAGTTAACTAACAGAACAAGAATTATAATATAATACTAGACGGCATGGAAAAAAGCAGTAAAAACTATCTGAAATTTAACCAGACTTTTATAAGTTTTAATATAAGCTGCTTCACTTTCTCATCATCTGTTTTATTAATAATTTAGAAAACTATAAAACCTGAGATTACTTGAAATATTCTTTTCTGTAGGTAATTTCATATTTTTCACTAGCTCCAAACCATTGCCAGGTAATGTTATTCAGCTGACCTATACAAGTGACACTTACTAACAGATTACCAAATATTCTAGGAAAGGTTTCCTATAAATTATATTTAAAGAGAAACTCTGTCTCGGGTACATTTGACTAAAGCATCACCTTCATTCATCAAATTCTAACCAGCACTGTAGTTCCCCATGCCTTCACTGCTTGTTCTGGGCAGGCAGCTTTAAGATTTCAATGGTGAACTGTTTATCACTGATCATTCATATGCAGATAATAAGCTTTTGAAGCAAATTCAAGCAGTTTTACAGAGCAGCAACTCAAATGGCAAACAGAACGAGCACATCTACTCATAAAAATTATACAAAAAAGGTGAATGTATGAAAAACAGATTCACAGAAATAGGAAAAAGCAAAAATTGCAAATTTAAGCAATTTCACTAGCTATACAAATCTTATGACTACATAAATGAGTCATGGTGGTGTGCTACCAAACATATATATATAAAATGTATAAATATGATAATTTTATCGCAAATAAAACAATTCACCTTCTCTCTCCTCCTCAATCTGAGCCATCCTCAAGGCCATAGCAGATTTCTCTTCTCTGACTTGATCATGGGACTCCTCTGACTCTGGTACATTTTCTTGCCATTCCAAGAGCTGACTCGGCAATTCATCCACACTACCTGATTCACTGGCCTAACAAGAGAAATTGCGCATGAAAATATATTTACCAAATCCCACTGCAAATGTAAACAACGCTTATAGCTGGCAAACCGTTCACAGAGCAAACAACCCATCATAATTCACCACTTTGCATAAATAAAGATCTGTGAAAGTGATAATTGCTATCATAGATTATGTAAAAAGCAAGCCTCACCACTTTGTAAAGTATCAAAAATGCTACTGCCAGTTGCGATTTTAATCTGAAATATTTTTAAATGAAAAATGGCTTTTTTAACCAAAATATTTTTGTTGCACATTTTCATCTTAGCAATATTGCAAAGTAAAACAATATTCAACTGTCTTTATGTGGGATAACAAATCTCTATTAACTTTTTTCCCCGCGAACAGAATAAAAATATTTCTGCCTTCCCATCAAAATAAAAACTGTTTTAAGCTTTTTACCAAACAAACACACCTTCTCCACAAACTTTGGGAAAAATAATTCTTTTTTAGCAAACTACAATTAACTGTTTCAAACTGGCTCTGCTGCTAGGTCTGTACAAAGTTACCACGATTACTGCATAAATCCATCTAAAGCCCTTTAGCAGAGTTTTCTTTGTTATCCAGACCTGTACATTTGTCAAGGTTACAGCTGTTATTTCCTTCTGAAAGTTATTTGTATTGTATATAAAGTAACAGCCACACTTTGATGACTCATGCTAAATGCAACTAAATAAATAGCAAACTGCTTGGAAAAAAGTGTAATTTAAGATATGTGGAAAAGTAAGTAGAAATCGATCTTTTTAAGTAACTCAAAACCTGTCAGCTTGTTACCCAACTGAACAGCTGCCGACACTGACAGTTCCATGTATCACTAAATTAACTTTCAGCTCCAAAATCCAGCTAACACACTTTTCCAAGTCTAATTACCACTGTTTGAGTTAATCAGAAATTCATACAAATAAATTCTACAGCTAACCTGTGAAGCTGCCCTTTTTGTAACTTGGTCAAGATCAGCTTGCAATTTCCTTTGCTGCTCTTCATAGATTTCCAGCTTAGTCAGCAATTCTTCTATAAAAACATAATAAATTTGGCTCATTAGGACACAAAACTAATAGGAAGATCAATAAAAATTTAAAATAAAGATGCAAAATTAAAATTCAGATGATAATTCATTTCAGTTAGAAAACCTCTGTTGGGCTGTGTTATCCGCCTACCCATGAAACTGACTTCTTGATTATTAAATCTTGATGAGTGCTTTAAATCTAACCTGCTAACCATTTAGACTGATGAACTGAAAACTCTACTGTTTTTCATTTACAGAAAGGATGTCAGAGAAAATAACACAAGGTGAAACAGAAAAATCTCTCACAGAACTCTACTTTAAACTATCTGAGGTTTTAAGCAAAAATTCTCACTCAAATCCTTACAAAAGAAAAATATTTGATATAATTCTTAATTTACTTGAAACTCACTGTTCTCAAAAGTTTATTGTATATACTCTGATAAATTTACCAAGTATGTTTGGTCTCATTTTTCCTCCTAAGAAGACACCTCTCCCACTTCCCAGAAAAGTTTACACATATTCTGCCTAAGCCGAAACGCAACAAGTACTATGCACAAGTAGATTTAGGGAAGGAAAAGCTGAGCTGTAACCCTGACTTAAGTACTGTATCCTATTGTTCAAAGTCACATGAAGTTATTTCAGAATCTGTTTAAAAACAAAGATACACTTTGAAAATGAAAATGAGAAAGTTCATTTATCTTTGTCTCTTTACTTGGAATCATCTGCAAGAGAAAAACAGATTTTGGGTTTTTTTTACCATTTTGAGTCCTGATTTCATATAAGGATTGCAGTTTTGACTGTAGTTCTTCATTTTCAATTTCTAATTCTGAGACACGATTGTTTAAGGTAGATACATCATTATTCTTTGATGAAAACTAAAAGAAAAAAATAGTTACGAGTTTTTCAAATGCACCAAAACACCGGAAACAAAGCAAAGCCAGTGCAACTTTTTTTTCTGATTTTTAGTAACAGTTAGAATAGCTGTTTCTCTAATATTTGAGAGTGCAATAAACTAATCTCTAGCAGATTTACTCCTGGATGCTGGTAACACCAGTTTGTACTATTTTTTGTTACAGTTTATCCTGTATCAACATTTTATGTCCATTCAATTTTTATACATTTATTCATACATAAAGACATTTTGAATAAATTATTTTAATATTCTATTTACCACATATTTTATTTTTTTCAGTCAAAGCTCCCAGCAAAGTACTTTTAAAAACACGCACGTAATATTAAACATAACGTCACACATACATTTTTTAGTTCATCCTCCAGTTGCTTAATTCTTGATTTAGACCAAGCCTTCATTTTCAGAAACTTTGCTTCAGATTTGCTGGCCTCTTCTGTTTTCAATTTCACTAGTACTAAGAAACAAGACACAAAAAATTATTTAAAACTCTAGAAAGATTATTAATACAAGACCTGTGTTTTAATTCCTTTAGCAATTGGAAGTTACACAGTTATACAAGACAACTGCATTTAAAGAAAAACCCAACAGTAAGAGACGTACTAAGAAATCTACAGTTCCTGTGATTATCCCGGTATTCCTATAACCCTCATTATTATAGTATTTGAGCATTGATACTTTTTAGTTAGTGTGGCAGTAACTCTTCCACCAAATTTAACGTAGTTCTACTTGCGAGAGGTATGAAGTTGGCACACAATACGTAACAGCATGGGGCAAAGGAACCCCTCATATGCACCAACTGTTTAAGTAGGATACCTTCTAAATCTTCCATCTTCTCTTTGGTTACAGCCTCCAGATCTCTAACTTCTTCTGAGTTAGTCCGTCCGCTACTACTTAATTCTGCCACTTGTTTCTTCAGCTGAAACAGGGCCTGATCTTTCTCTTGCAGCTCAGTTTCATGTTTCTCTTGAATTTCATGCAGTTCAGCATTATATTTCTCCTTAACTTTTGTCATTTCAAGCTCATGTTTCTCCATCATGTCTCTTAACTGGGCTCTCATTACATGTTTCTCAGCATCCAGTTTAGACTGGAGGTTTTCTTTTTCAGACAGAAGACGTTTCAGGTTTTCATTAATCTCCTGCAAAAATAAAAAAACCAAACAAGCCAAACAACTCCTTTATTTTTTAATGCAAAGTATTTTCAGTACCACTGTCAAATATTGTATCTGTTTTCCTACATACATTATAACCAGAAATCAGTGCTACTGTTGGTAACCTGGCTCTACTAAAAAGCTACTCAGCTCTGACTTTCCAAGACAGAAGTGGGGACTTTAGCAAAATGGCATCATTATTTGAGTGCAAACTACATGCAACCTCTCCCATATGTGAAAATGGAGTAAAAAAAAGAATGTTTGGTTCTATGGAATATATAAAAAAAAACCCCAAACAAACCACCAAAAACACAGAAGCAGATCTTTAACAGTGATCCCAAAGATTAAGGATGCTCACTACAATGCCACCCAGGTGTTGTCACCTGCATCCATTAAAATTAAAGTTGGCAAATTGATCTAGTTCTTCTTTACAATATTTTGTTGCTAACTAGCTTTCTGTTGGTGTTTATTCTACTTTTACTGCCTTTACATTAGTTAATACGGAGGTAGAAAAGATTACAGATCACTGTAACAGAGCAGTCCACTCACATTAGACCTGCTGCTCAAAACAAACTACTTTCATGATACATAAACCTAGAAATATAAACTGTCCAAGTAAAGAAGCTGTGCAAAACAGCAGAGGGAACATTTCCAAAACCTGGTTAAAACTGCTTATGCAAATAAAGCAAGGCTTCCTGCTATTTTAATACTAAAGCTGAGATTCCATTACAGTTTCAAATGCTTTAGGTTTGTGTCGTCATAGTTAAATCTTCCCTCAAGGTGTGCATTTCTGTCCCCTCAATGCACTAGCACTAGGTGCCATCAGTTCTTGCAGAGCATCAGTGTAGCAAGATGCATCTAACCCAAAAAAAAAAAAAAAAACCCAAACAAAGCCCTGCATAAGGCAGGAGGCATAACAAATGGGAAGCACAAATGAAACGGGCTTAAAATACCATGGATCTTAGCTACTTGAGCAGGACACCCACCTGGGTACATAGCAGAAACTATTTCTAGTAAGATTTTGATTCTGGCAGCCCTCTTGGTAAACAGAAAATTTGTTGGAAATAGTATAGCTAAAATGCTGGACCTGACACCCCGGACAGGCTATAATGTGGCTGTTTCAGGCTTTTTGGACTCTGCTATCTGAAAGACTGCAACGTCCTTTTTCTACACCGTTGAACTGAAGCAGCAGCACTCAAAGGCTATAAGCAGAGCTCATGCTAGGTGCTTAAACACAAAGAACCTTTTGCAATCAGTAGAAATACAGCAAAAGGAAAGGCATACTACTACCAAAACATTCTGAGGGGAAAAAAAAAAAAGCCTCAGCTTTGGGGCTCACTGCAGTCTCTAACCAGAGAAGCTGAAATCTTTTGACAGCAAAGTCTTCCCTACATGGCAAGTTCCCAAAACAGATCAAGACAAACTATGGGTGAGAGTTGACAGTTTTATATTACATGGACTCTCCTTGTAATATAAAGATATAAATATATATATATAA